TCCCTTTGGAACCCCACGGGTCACAAACTTGACAAAGAACCCCTTATCCCCACTCCCTGTTTCCTATCCATAAGCCAATTTTTCTATCCATGCCAATCTTCTCCCTCCAACTCTGTGTTCTTATATCTTAATGGTTCTTATGTCTTGGGCGGCACGGTGGCTCAGTGGTTAACACTGTTGCCTCACAGCACAGGGATCTGGGTTCAATTCCACCCTTGGGCGACTGTCTGTGTGGAGTTTGCACATTCTCCCTATGTCTCTGTGGGTTTCCTCCAGGTGCTCCAGTTTGCTCCCACAGTCAAAGATGTGCAGGCTAGTTGGATTGGCTATGCAAAATTGCCCGGAGTGTCAGAGAGGGTTATAGATGTATGGGTCTGGGTGGGATGCTCCAAGGGTCGGTGTGGTATAGTTGGGTCAAAGGGCCTGTTTCCACATTGTAGGGATTCTATGATTCTTAACCTTTGTTAAATACTTTATCAAATGCCTTCTGGAAGCGCACATACAACACGTCCTTTCTACCTGCTCTGTTTGAAGCTTTCTGGGAAAAACTTGAATAAATTAATCAGACACTGTTTCCTGTTCATGAAGCCGTGCTGACTGCTTGACTTAGATTATGATTTTCCAAATGTTCTGCGATTACTTCCTCAGTAATTGATTCCATATTTGTTCATCAATATAGATTTTAGGCTAATCGGCTTATAGTTTCTTCTTTTTGCCTCTGTCCCTTTTTGAAAACGGGTGTCATATAGGCAGTTTTCCAGTCCTCTGGTGTTTCTCCAGAATCCAAGGATTTGTGGAAAATTACATGCAATGTATCCACTATCTCTGTAGCAACGTCTTTTTAAGATCCTTTTCAACTCCTTTGCCATTGTCGTCTTCTTCAGAACCATCTCGCCATATTCATTTTCTAAGATGTCTATGTTCATTTTGATTTCACTTCTTTTTATATTTAAAGAAGCTGTTATTGTCAGTTTTTTTTAAATCACACTAGTTTGCCCTCGTATTTATTTTCTCTGTCTTAATTATCTTTATAGACCTACTTTCCTTGATCTTATCCTAGTCTTCAAGGCTATCACTGACTTTTGTCTCCCTATATGCTATTTTTCCTCAAGTAACTCCCTCACTGATTCTCCAAAACTTGTACATCATCTGGAACACACTGCATTTGCTTGGGCAAGTGCAACTCCAACATCACCATCAGGAAGAACAGCCTGCAGCAAGTTCCCTGAAAGCCACATGTCATCTGACTTGGAACTATATTGTTTCTTCGCTGTGGCTGAACCAAAATGCTGGAACTCCCTTACTAATATTGCTATACTTAACATTGTGTTCCTAATCTTTTGTGAATTACCTTACTAAAATCTGTAAGGGTACAGAAGATAGTTATTGTTGTGTTTTTAAAAAAACTCATTAAAGGATTGTTTTGTTTCTTCATGCTTTACTAGGTCAATGAAACAATTTATTAGCTCCATTCACCAACCTGACCACCGGTCTGATATTAACCTATTGGAGCTATATCAATGACCAGAAGAAAGGAGTGAGAAATCTATTGGTGAATCACCTTAACTACTGCAGAATATCTGCAAGAAACTGCATACACATAGGCATTTATGGTAGTTGGAACTGTTTGATTGCCCACCCCCTTGAAGTAGAACATTCTCTATTTCCAAATACACTCAAAATCATATTTCACAAGTCTCATCTTGCATGCTGATTTACTCTGGTTTTGAATGTCTGCAATGGAAGTGTTCGCTGTCAAACTGGTAGTTAATTGTCAGTCTCCTAATACTTGAATAATGTAAGATGCTGCTTTAGAGGTATTTTAATCTAAAGAGAGATGCATGAGCCAATTGTAGGGAATGTATTTGATCTGTAATTGGCATCCATTTTAAATACCTTGTAAATAATGGAGTATTCTTTACAACAGTAGCTCTGCTGATAATATGCATCTGACTTATAATGATAAACTCGTGGATCCAAAGTACGTAGAAATTAGATATTAAATATTCTCACATGCAAAACAGTTTTTAAATTCATGTTTGAGGTACTGATGCCAAAATTCAGTGTAATTGAACAAACCTTCAAGAGGTTTCAAAGAAAAGTAAAACCCTTTTAAAGTATGACTCCTACTAAGAATAGGAACAGCACACACGTACATAGATATGATACTGTTTTTCATATCTATCATATTGAGTTGTAATAAGGAAAAGAAATAATTTTATCTTGTTACATTTTGAAGTACGATTATTGATATTGTGCAGGCCTAGCCAACAACAACTTTTCAATATTGCTGAAATTACTGTGAAGTCAAAAATCAGTTACTGCTTTTGATGGGATACTTTGGAGGGAGGGATTTTGATCAAGATCTCAAAAAGCAATTGCTCTTAAATGATCACATCACTACATTTAATATTCTCCAGTACCATTGGAATTAAGTGTGCAGAACCTTAATTTCTGCATTGTGGGGTCACTACCTAAGACAAAGCAGCACCCTTAATTGTTTTATGATAACATAGAATGCATCCTTCACTTCTACAAGGGTAGTGATTGGTCCTTACTGATCTTTATTAGACCAGTTTTCTTAATTCAAACCCTTACTGCAAAGAAACATGATAACTTAAAATATGCTGTACTTCCATTAACACTTCATTAAAAAGCTGTCAGCAGAAAGCATGCAATTCACGAACGTTTTTTATTGCTATATTTTACCGTGCTTGTGTTTCCCCCACCCCCATTCACCTGTATCATGTAATCCAACCTTACCTGATCTGGCCTACATGTGACTCCAGACCCACACCCTCTGGGCAATTACGGATGGGCAATAAATGCTGCCTAGCTAGCAATGCCCTCATCCTGTGAATGAATTTTTAAAAAAAACATTTTTTAAAAATCTGACCAATGTGGTGCCATTCTCCATTCACAGGCACAAAAGTTGAGAACTGTATCCATATTATTTAGGATTTTCTTTTTAAGAAAAGGGGCTAGAAGGGGTTGTAACAGCATGTTGTAATAAATTGTATATACACACTGAAAGTGACAGAGCAAATTGAAATAGCTGTTTGGATGAGTGGTTTCATAAACGGTGGCACGCAAAAAAGCATTAAATCATTTTAAGACGGTTGTTCCATCTTTTCGTGTGAGGAACCACATTTTCAAGTTTGTTTTGCACTTGAGGGAACGATGAACAATTTTCAAAAACATTAGGTTCGGCATGACAATAAACATAAATTTCAAAGTAAAAGTTAAGTTATAAACAAAAACTATCTGACCATAAAAACAATAAAAAAGCAATACATTAATTTTAGAAATTGAGTAATTAATAAAGATGACCATTAAAAAGTGTCATGCAGTACATCAATTTTTTTTAAATCTGAAAAGCAGAGCTAGAGAAAGACAGACAGGTTAGGCCCCAAGTCACTGGGGAAGGCAGAACGGACTAGGGCTGAGCTAAGGAGTTGATTTAACCAACACTGAACCAGTGTTCACCTCCGGAGGCATACAAGTGGTGCTGATCTGAGCAGAAGTTGTGCCAGAGAGGGAAGAGAAATGCTTTGCTTTTCAGTCTGGGTATTCTTCCTTTTGACTGAGAAGATAATAAAAGTTGTGGACAGTGTGGTAAGGATGCAGGAGTGAAACTAGTAGAATCTGCTTTGCAAAAGCCTACATGGACGTAATGGGTTGTATGACTGCCTTTTGTGCTGCAGTCTATGATTCATCATTTTATGTTTTGAACTTCAATGAGTGAAAAAAGCTTGTGTGGTAAGTAATGAGCTGGAATTCACTGCCTAAATGGTCGGTGGAAGCACATTCAGTGAAACTTTGTGAGGAAGATAAGTACGTGAAACGGACAGGTTGAAAAACCTGGGGCAGAGGCATTGGAATGGGTATAATTTGGATAGGTCTTTTCCAAGAGGTTTGATGCACGAAATGACTACCTCATGTGATATATAATTATGTGAATCCAGATAAAGCTTAACATTATTGGAAGAATTCAATGATGGGTCTATTTTCTTTTTTTAACTTCAGCCATTATTTCTATAGTAAAACGTTGTCTCCCATTGTAAGGCATTGGTTGTGACAGAATATTAGAATGCCATTGGTGGTACAATACAAATATGATGTAATCATCCAATCACAAAGTATTGTGTTGTGAATCTCCCTCTGCAGGATGGAGTTCCCCTCCTGCAGGGATGAATCAAGGTTTCTCTTCAACCACCAGCTAACATTCTAGGTACTAATCTACCAAATAAACGCTTAAGGCCAGAAAATATGAACAATATTGCAGGATTCTATGATTATGTATGGATTAACTTGTGTGCAAATGAAGGACAAGCTCTAGCCAGTCAGCAAACAAAGATCTCAAATTATACTAATTAAGCTAGGAGGGCAAGAGGGCATAGCCTCAAGATTAGAGGGAGCAGATTTAGGACTGAACTGAGAAGGAATTTCTCCACCCAGAGGGTTGTTAATCTATGGAATTCCTTGCCCAGTGAAGTAGTTGACGCTACTTCAGTAAATGTTTTTAAAGGTAGATTTTTTTTTTGAACAATAAAGGAATTAAGGGATACGGTGAGAACACGGGTAAGTGGATCTGAGTCCACGAAAAGATCAGCCATGATCTTATTGAATGGCGGAGCAGGCTCGAAGGGCCAGACGGCCTACTCCTGCTCCTAGTTCTTATGTTCTTATGTTCTAAGCTAACAATGTATTGTTGTGGATAGAAGATTACACTCGTATGTTAATATAGTGTTTTTTTAATAGTTACAGCTTTCATATTTCACTTAAATCCACTCTGGACACTCACTGATTGGCAGAAGATAGAATTAGTTTTACATTGGACCTGTATTGAGATCAAGAGTGCCACCTTTTGACTGTTTTCTGATGTAACCGTAATGAAATCGACAATGCTAAATCTACTGTGTAGATTCCATGCTGTTCTGTACTATTGAGTAATAACTATGCAAAAAAAAATTAATTGGTATTTTGAATTTCTTTTACAGGAATAGCATTCACAGATTTGCCTGTAAGTATAAATAACTTTTTCCTGACCTGAAACCCATTTTTAAAAGTCCTTTTTTTGCTAAATATTTTTACCTAAAGCAATTCACTGTGGAAGGAGCCAATTATCTGCCATTTTTTAAAAAATTACCTTTTCTAATTTAATGTCATTTAATTTAATGTACTGACCTGTTTGAGGTTGTAATGCAGGCAAAGCTGGTAGTATTTGTTGTCATTCTTCAGTGAAACTGAAAACCATCTCAAGCGCAAGCACATGCGCAGTTAAACACTGGAATATGGAAGTTGTTGCCGCTGTTCTTCCATCGGTTGTGCTGTGGAGATTCCCACAGATGGAAATCTTAAAAATTTGTGATTTGATATGAACTTCCACATTTCATATTATTAATTTTGTTGTAAAAAGCCTTGAAGTTTTGCCTTGTCGAATGAGAAGTGACTAGACTTTTTTAGTGGTCTGCTCAGTCATAGTTAGTGCTAATTGATCTCTCCAGCCCTGAAAACAAAACTTTATATTTATGGAATGTTAGCTGTTCCCATAATGATTCAAAATTCAGTCATTTCATTTTTTAAATATAATATTTTAGCTTCTACCTTGATCCAGAGGATATGTCCTAATCTTTTTCATCAATGTCTGATTTAAAACATGAAAGTTAATCAGAGCTTTTTAGTTCCTGGTTATGGTCTTTAACAGTTCTTCATTCTGGCCAGCTGCTTAGCCTTATTAATGACAACACTGTTACTGGATGCTCCTGAGCCCCACTAACTGTTGAAATTAATGATAGGAAAGGTGAAATCCAGCCATATATTTCACTAGATATTTGTGGAAGCTCACTTTGAGGTCAATAACAAACATTGACACTTTGGCACTAATTACAGAATTTGGACCCGTGTTAGTTTTCTGCTTAGGCCATGAGAGTTGTGCTTCTCTGATGGTTGAAAATATTAACTGTACTTGTGAAATGTTAATTCTAGTGTGAAGCTTATTTGGAAGCTTATTTTCTAATATTATGGAGTAGATGTTTGAAAAGTAACAAACCTTTAATTTGAATGATCATATTAGGCAGTACTTTTATTTCATATACATTATTGTTGTTTTGCACTTGTTGGAATGTTGGAGATAGACACACCTAGTTATGTACATGTATGATGTATCACTTTTTTTATTTAATTTCTTTAGAGTGTGAACTATTATGGGAGCATTCAAAACTGTTTTTGCAAATTTTACTAGATTGACGTGAAGCCCTAATTGATAGCCCTTTAGTTCCCTCCTCATGCCCCCAGAAGATACTGAAATTAGTGGTCTTTGGAATTGTATCATTAAATTCAGCAGTACCTAACACTCAAACATGGGAGCTGCCCACTCTGTATGACTTAGCATCACGAAAAGCAATAATTTACACCATGAGTTAGCAGGAAGGCTGATGTAGGTTTTGAAATCTTAGAGGGAATGTATTCAGATTGAAAGAAGACTACATACAATATGGCAAAGATTAGTCGGTGAGCCAGAGGATTGAGAAATGTTTACAAACCAACAAACGACAACCAAAAATGTAACAGAGGGAGAAGATGATTTTGAGGCTAAATTTGCAAGTGATATCAAGACGGACAGCAAGATCTTCTCTAAATATAGAAAAAGGGAGAGAGAGGCCAAAATGTGCATAGGACATGTGGACAAGGAAGCTGGGGAAATAATAATGAGGAACGAGGAAATGACAGAGTTGTTGTATTAATATTTTGCATCAGTAGGAGATGCAATAGCATTCAAAAAATACAAAATCGAGGGGTAAAGAGTAAACACGTGCAATATCTATCTCATCAGAAAAAGTGCTAGGAAAGCTAATGGGGCTAAAAACCAGTTGGTCCCTGGATCTGATGGGATGTACACTAGAATATTTAAAAGAAGTAACTATGGAGGTAATAGATGCATTGGTCATAGTCTTCCAAGAATCCTTAGATTCTGGAGAAGTACCAGAGATTGGAAAGCTGCCAATGAAATTTATTTAAAGAGGAGAGAAGACGAAAAAAGGTAACAATAGGTTAATCAGATTCACGTCTGTCATTGGGGAAAATGTTAGTGTAGTATAAAGGTTGTAATGGTAGAGCATTTAGAAATCCATAATGTTATTAAGCAGATTATTATTGGTGAAGCCATGCTGAAGAGGAAAACATGTCACACAATTTAGTATGAATATTTTTGAGGTGGTAACAAATAGGATAGATTAAAGGGAAGCAGTGCATATGATATATTTGGACTTCAGAAAGGATATGATAAGATACCACACATTAGGCTACTTAGTGAGCTAAGAGCCCATGATGTTATAAGTGATGTTCCAGCATGGATTGAAGATTACTAACTAATAGAAGACAGTGTTGGGGTAAAGAGTGGTGGGGTGGGACTGTTCATTTTCAGGATGGCAACCTGAAACTGGTGGAATGTCGCAGGGATCAGTTCTGGGTTCACAATTATCTATTGATGAATTAGATGTAGAAAGTGAATGTACTATAGTCAAGTCTATGGATGCCACACAATAGGTAGGAAGGTAAGTGTTGAGGAAAATCATGTCTCCAAAGGGAAGTAGACCGGTTAAACAAGTAGACAAAAACTTAGTAGTTGGAATACAGTGTGGGAAATGTGAGGTTATGTGTTTATCAAGAAGCGTTAAGGAGCTCAATATTAATATTTTAAATGGAGAGAAAACTGCAGCGTACAAATTCAGACAATAGGGAAAGTAAATAGAATATTGGCCTTTTTATTTTAAAAGAATTGCCATCTAAAAATAGATTGTTGCCAAAACTACACAAGGCATGAATCAAACCACACCCAGAATACTGTGAACAGTGTTAGTCCCCTTAACTAAAGAAAAATGTACTGGCATTGGATGTAGTCCAGAGAGGGTTCACTTGTTTGATCTTGGGTAAGGAGAATTGTCTTTGAGCAAAGGTTGAAAGGGTTGGGTTTGAATTCATTGGAATTTAGAAGAAAGAGAGGCAACCTTACCAAAACATGCAAGTTTCTTAGAGGACTTGACAGGGTACATGCAGAAAGGTTGTTTCACCCGTTTGGGAGAGCCTCTGACCAGAGGGCATAATCTCAACGTAAGAGGTTTCCCATTTTAAACAGATGAGAAATTTCTTTTCTGACAATGGTGAATCTATGGAATCTCTTCACCACAGCGGAGTGTAGAGGTTGGATCATTAAGTATATTTAAGGCTGAGATTAACACAATTTTTAATCAGCAAGGGAATCAAGACTTATGGGGAAAAGGTGGGAAAGTGGAGTTGAGGATAATTAGACAACGATGATCTCGTTGAATGTCAGAGCGGACTTAATAGGCCTGCTTCTGCTCCTACATCTTACAGTCTTATGTTTGTTGCATGGAATCTTTGGAATTTGGATTTCTTAGGACAAACTTAACTTGTGTTTGAAAGATGCTGAATTCTGAATCAAACCCCAGTAACTTGAACAATGTTTATTATTAGTGTGAAGGTATGGACTGATTTGATGTATTTTAAATGAAACTTTAACTAATAGAAGCTTAGGTACTGTTGGATATGTGTTCATATTAATGCATTTGCTAAACATTGTATCATTTGCTCCAAACCATGCTTAACCAACAACAGTACCTGCAGCTAAACCAATCACTTCATAAATAACACCAGCGTCTTGTATATGCCTGTACTGTTCCTTTATGTGGCTCGGTGTCAGATATTGATTTTTATAATACTACCGTAAAGTATCTTGGGACATGTTATTAAATTAAAAAGGCACTCTGCAGATACAGGTTTATAGCCATATGGCAGATTCACTAGTCACATAGTCACCGTGTTTCCAAGATGCCTTTGAAGAGCAAACTGTAAAATGACAACACAAATGATTCTATTTTTGGTAACTTAATTAAAAGTCTATTTTGGCATAAAATAGTCATGCCATGCTTGTTAGTATATCTGAATCTCATACTGCTGCCATTGGATACCATATAGCAGTGTTCCATCCAAGGGAGGATTCATGAATAAAGAGAGCCTCAAGGCAGATCCAGAAGTTCACCTTGTGTCAAGCAATCAGTAAGACATTTCTATGGGCTAGCTGCAAGAAAAAAAAAGATGTAAAGTCTAAGAAGCATTGATATGATAAATCATGTACTGACCAGAATCCCTAAAATTTTGTAAGATTTGTGCTTAAATGCGAAATGTGGCAATATTTAAGCAAATGCTTTTTGATATTATTTAAGACGACTTGCTTTAAAATTATATGTGCAAGAATGTTTGTAAATAGTGACAGCCTACTGCTAGGGCCTGTAGTGCTAAAGTAGTGCGATCATGACTTGAGAATTTCAAACGCTCCTAGTTGATTGGAAGTGTTTATAAGGAAAGCGAGAGGGTTAAATTAATTCTTAGCAGGGACAAAAATCAGGCAGCAGTAGAATGAATGGATATTAAAATTAGGGAGTATAATTGGTTGTCCGCTTAAGACTCATTTTTTAAAAGTTCCACCAAAGTTGAATTTCATATTCAGGAATCCCATTAATAAATTCCTTTTGATTTCCATTTTGCATTTGAGTTATTGACTGTAATATTAAATTGAGAATTGTCATTATTTTTGTCTTTCAGCCGAACCTGTACCCAACTGTGGGGCTTCAAACACCGGGTGAGATAGTAGATGCCAATTTTGGGCAGCAGCCATTTGTGTTTGACATAGAAGATTACATGCGTGAGTGGAGGGCAAAGATTCATGGCACAATTGAGCGATTTCCTATAGGAGACAGACTAGGGGAGTGGCAGACGATGATGCAAAAGTAAGAAATGCTGCTCCTTGCTTATCATACATAAAGGGTTAGCTGATTTATTTGGTACCACATTTAAACTAGCTCATTGTGTGAGAATTTGTTTTATAGCATGGTGTCGTCCTACCTGGTGCATCATGGGTACTGTGCAACAGCAACTGCCTTTGCCAGAGCAACAGGGCAGACCATTCAAGAGGAGCAGAGTTCAATCAAAAACAGACAGCGTAAGTCTGGCAGTGATGTGTATGTGTATAACATTTTGAAATTTCTATTTTAAGTCCCCTGTTGTCTCAGTTGCTAACTGCACTGCCCAGTATTGAGATGAGCCAAATACATTTCGAGGAGGGAATTGCCTAACAAGGTAACAGTTGGGTACTATAGTCACCCTCTGCAGCTCCAGACTACAGGCATGAACACTAAATGAAAGTACTTAATAATGATCCACATTCAGGAATCTTGTTTCACTGTGAAAATGGTTGTGTTGTGTCTTCTGCAGTAAAACAGTCTGCTGACATAGATTTTCAACTTGCGCCCCAAGAATAAAACTCGCTGCCAACAGTCTTGGAAAGCAACAGGAATTAAATTCTGCCAGTTTCCATAACAGACATTTGAGCTGCAATTGCATCTGTTCTGCATGTTGAAAATCGTCGTTTCCACATTACATGATGAAGGACCAATTGAGCAATGTATTAAAGGCTTTTGAAGGCTATTGAATTGCACCAGTATCTGAATATATGCTGGACTAAACAGGAGAAAATTGGATGTTATAAAATATAAATTCAGTTGTTTGAGTTACATGGCCTGGTCACACAGTCAGCCTTGTGAATAGATTCCACCTGTCTGGAGAATTAGGATGTAAAATTCAGAATGTGCTGATTTTACCAACCACTTGAAAAATTGTTTCAGCAGCAAAAATATTTCAATACATGCATTTTGTTTCCATATGCCTTGTAAAGGGAAAGAATATATAAAATAGATAAGTTTTACATCAAGTCTCAGGCTGGAAGCAAATAAATGAACAGGTGTTTTGTGAATATTTTATGGTTTTACTTTCAAAAACACTGCTTGAAATGTTCTTCAAGATATATATACAGCAAGGAGTGTTAAACAATGAAGCTGAGCTGACTAAGAGGCTGCAACTTGTTGATGGTGTCTTTAG